AGGAGAGGAAGGCCCTCTATGAGGTGGATTGATTCAGTGACTGGGATAATTGGGATGGGAGTGTCAGAGACAGTGCGATTGGCACAGGACAGAGCGGAGCTTAGGGCTGTTGTACATACGGTCGCTATGAGTCACAAGTGACTCGACGGCACACAACAACAACATATTTTTTTACAATATATCTTCTAGTCTCTGACGAGTTCATCATTTTCTTACTAAGAACATTTTTCTTTTGTGCATAATGTATATGTAGTATTATGTCTTGCTTTTTATACATGCTCTATGTTCATACATTTTACTACTTTTTATTTTTCTGGTCCTCTGCCTTTGTCCGTGTTATTGTCTCTGGTAAGTCTTCCTCTCCCCATCTGTGATTCCCAGAATGCTTTCTGACTCTGAAAACTAAGCTCACATGGCCTCACTCTTCATAGTTTCCCTTGATTGTTTCGATCACACGCTATACTTTGAACTGCTTTTGTACTTTGTACCTTTTTGTAAGATGCCTTTTGATATGCTCCTTCATAATAAGGTATGGCATTATCTCCTTCACTCATTTGAAAACCAACTGTAAGTAGAATTTCTGTTTGAAAAAAAAGAACAAAAAACCCCAAATGTAATCCAAAATGTGCTTAGAAAAAATGCTCACTGAGTAATAAATTATTGGTTTGGAATTTTCCTTATTTTTTGAGTTTTGCATGATGAAAGTCAACTATGCCCTCCCCATTCTTTGATATGAACCTAAGGTAGGACTTCTGATCCAACAGAGCGTATTTCTTCCTCATGTGGAAGACTTTGTTGAATTGGGGTTTTTAGAGCTGCCTACATGGGCACATGGCAGGAGGATCCAGTCCTTGAAGAAGGACATGATGCTCATGCTTGGAACGGTGGAAGGACAGCATAGGAGAGGAAGACCCTGCATGAGGGGTTGACATAGTAACTGGGTAATGAGAATAGGTGTGTTGGAGCCAGTGAGACTGGCGTAGAACAGGGCAGGTTTCAGGGTCACTATGAGTCACAGGCAACTCAATGTCACATAACTACAACAACAACAACATGGGAAGGCAAAAAAGCCACTATTTGAAGTGCTTACTCTGTGTTAGTCACCTATGTAATTTTAATCTTCACAATAATCTTGTGAAATTATTATTGCCATTTTTTGTGTGTTATTTAAAATTTTAGTATTTTTTTCGACTCAACTTGGCCAGGGAATGATGAGCTGAGACTTGTACTTAGGTCCACCAGACTCCAGACCTGGGCTCTAAATGTTTGCAGTTTTGGTCTCTGGGAAAGGTCCACAACTAGATGAAGAAGTGTGAGTTTGGGAAGAGAAGAATAAAGATATATATTAAAAAAAATAGAATGTCATGCAGGAGGTACATCTTGAGAATCATTAACAAGATGTTATAATCAGATTATCTGACAGAAATTTGTTATTAAGAGTCACAGTTAAATTTTGTAATAATTTATTGGTAATAAAGTAATTTTATTGGCTTTCCCCTTCCCTCTTATCAAATATCATATTACTCTGAGAAATAAAAACTGTCATTTCTTAGCACCGATTGAAAAGATTACCCACATACCACAGATACCATCTCTTTTTTTGGTACAGATTTGGCAGCAGTATTTTGCAGCTAAAGATACAGTCTACGCAGTTATTCCTGTAAGTACTTTGGAGGGGAAAATGAAAGTGTTATAATAGGAAGGTCAGTGCTATAACCTTAGCAAGGCAGTTGCTTTTACTTTTCCTATGTTTATTGCCTCTTGAGAACTTGTATATTACAGCTCTGAGGGTTTTATTATGCTCTAAGCACCAAAGATTGGAAGCTCTGTATAGTGTATTTATGGCTCTTGTTTTCCCTTTTCTTCGTTTAGAAATATCTCTTTAAGTCAAGTCTCTGAGAAAGGATCATGTTATAATTTCATGTTGCCAAGCTGTTTCCAGATATCTTTTATTTCTTTTTGATGGTTTCCAAAAGAGAGAACCTCTACCATAGCTTTCTTCCTATCTAGTCTATAAGTGACCTACACTGAGCTAATGTTGGATCTCCTCCTAGTCTTTTTCTGGCATTTCCTCTGAGCAAGTAGTATTTTCTTTGTTTTCCTCTTGAAATTACTATCCACTGTTAATTGGGAAGGGGTGCTGCCAGCTTTCTCTGGTTTGATGTCCCTCTGCCGACCTCCACAGAAAGACTCTAAAGTACTAACTTCTCAGCTAGATTGCCTTCTTCCATGCAGTCTTAAATTATGTTTGTATCAAGCACACAAATACATACTGGGTTTGAATGTCTAAGATTGAGGAAAATATAGATGAAAAAATAATGTGAGACACTTTGGTGGTTGTGAGAATATTAATACATCTTTTCTTCTTCTTACACATATCTGCCCTTAGTGATTTCAGTGGCCAAAAGGAGTTGCTCTGTTCAAAATACTTTAGATCTCTGAGACTGACTTGCTGTTTGAACAGACCTTATCAGTCCCAGCTCACTGACCTGATGTTACTAAGACATATCAAAATCTCCTAGAAGTTTTCAAGCGTATGGAGCATCCACTCTTCACACATAATTCTGACATCAAACAGCAAAGTGTCTTAGCTCCTTTTCTTCCTTTTCTCATAAGATGAGTGATTCATAAATTAGATAACTTAGAGATTGTTTTAGGGGTATTTTAGTTCTACAGTTTAAATCCTGATGAATTTATATGTGATTGTGACTCTGTGGGTTTTTGTTGGTGAATTAATTTTGTTCTTTTCCAACATGCAGGAAGAGAAGTTTGATTTGATCTGGAACCGGGCTCAATCCTGTCCCACAGTAAGTGTCCAGTCACTGTAAGAGGATTGTTTATCAGTTCTGCCAAACAAGGATGTTTTGTAACCAATCTCAGTATGTTCCTGGCTATCTTACATGTTACATGTTACAGTACAGTGTTTCTTTAACAGAGATGCTGACTTGTTGATTATATTGATCACTGAGAATTTCAGCTTTATGAATATATCTCTGACTTTTTGTCTGCCATTTCTCAACTCTTTCTGATCCAGTTTTTAATCTATCAGTATAAATACATACTGGAAAGTACACGAGGCCTTAATTTTTCTGTCCTACTTAAAGATCCTATGTTTTGGTAGCTTCAGTTACCGATTTGAGAATCCTGTCCTGGGAATGTGTGCTTCAAAAGGATCTGAAATTATTGCTGGGATAATGAGCTACCAGAAAGACTAAAGGAAAGTGACTAGTTGGACCATCTAACAGTGTCACCTTGACTTCTTGAGTTCTCAAAAAACTAAGTATGACTGAGTGAAAATAAAATGTAAATTGGAAAGATGTACTGTGTCCATGAACCAAAGAGTCAATATTGTTCAGATATTTGTTGTTGTTGTTGTTGTTATGTGCCATCAAATTGCTTGCAACTCATAGCAACCCTATGTATAAGAGCCCTAAACCCTGCTCTATCCTGAGCCAACCTCCCTGACACATCTACTCCCATTACTCCAATCACTGAATTGATCCATCTCATCGAGGGTCTTCCTCTCTTGTGCTGTCCCTCCACCCTCCCAAACATGATGTCCCTCTCCAAGGACTGGTCCCTCCTTGCAAAATGCCCAGGGTATATCAGATAAAGCCTCAGAATCCTTGCCTCCAAGGAGCTACCCAGTGTCACCCCTAGGACAAACCTGTTTGTTCTAGAGTCCAGCACTCTTCTCCAGCAATACAGCTCAAAGGCCTCAATTCCCTTTCTATCATCCCTAGTCATTGTCCAGCTCTCTGATGCATAGCTCGTAATTGCGAAGACTATAGGCTGGATCAGGCACACTTTAGTATCCAGCCTGATGTCATTGCTCTTCAGTACTCTGGAGAGGTTCCTGACAGCTGACTTTCCCAACGCAGTTCGTCTCCTGATTTCCTGGCTGCTGTTACCAAGAGTGTTGACTGTGGAGCCAAGTAAACTAAAACTGTTAACTATCTCAATCTCTTCACCATCCATAATGATGCTGCCAATTAACCCAGTGGTGAGAATCTTTGTTTTCCTGATGTTGAGCTTCAATCCATATTGAAGACTGCAATCCTTGACCTTCTGTAGCAAGTGCTTCAGGTCCTCCTCAGTTTCAGCAAGCAGGGTTGTGTCATCTGCATAACGCAGGTTGTTGATGACTCTTCCACCAATCCAGATGCCACGTTCCTCCTCATACAGCCTAGCATCCCGGATGATCTGTTCTGCATACAGACTGAAAAGGTATGGAGACATACCCTGGTGGACACCCTTCCCAATTTTGAACCATGCAGTGTTTCCTTGCTCTCTTCTGAAGACTGCTTCCTGGTCTAAAAATAGGTTTCGCATAAGCATCATCAAGTGTTCTGGGATTCCCATTCTTCTCAGAGTCAGCCACAGCTTGTTGTGATCCACACAATCAAACGCCTTTGCATAGTCAAGGAAGCACAGATAGACATTCCTCTGGTACTCTCTGTTTTCTGCCAAGATCCATCTAACATTAGCTATAATATCCCTAGTACCACGACCTCTTCTAAACGCAGACTGCATATCTGGCAGTTCTCTGTTGACATGTTGTTGCTCCAGCCTTCCAAAACTGATTGCTAGATTAAATTGTTCTTCTTGTGGTGTACTGTCAAGTCAGAACCAACTCATAGCCTACCCTCCAGTGGGGTTTTCAGAGGCAGTAAATTGCATAGGAGGAGATGATCCATCCTTCTTCCACATGTTATTGTTAGGTGTTATCAAGTTGAGTATGACACATAACAACCCTATGAACAAAAGATCTGAACCCAGTCTTGTTCTGTGCATCCTCATACTTCCTGACATAAGAGCTCATTGCAGCAGTCATCATGTCTATCCACTTGGTTGAGGGTCTTCCTCTTCTTTGTCGACCCTCCACCCTCTCCAACATTATATCCTTCTCCAAGGAATAGCCCTCCTAGTAACATGTCCAAAGTATGTGAGGGTAAACCTCATCATTCTTGCTTCCAAAGATCACAGTGGCTGCACCCTCTCCAAGACATACCTATTCTTTTTCTTGGCTGTCCATGGGATGGTCAGTGCTCTTCTCCAACACAACAGCTCAAAGGGGTCAATTCGTTTTCTGTCATCGTTATTCATTGTCCAGATCGCGGATGCATAGCTGGTAACTGGAAAGACTATGGCCTGAATCAGATGCACCTTAGTCCTCAAACTGACATCACTACTCCTCAATAATTTGGAAAGGTCCCTAACTGCAGATTTTTTCAATGCAATGTGTCTCATTATTTCCTGACTGCATTTCTTCCCTGCCACCTAGCAGCTGGTAAATTTGAGCCACATGCCTTTGGGATTGCAGCACAGGTTCTTACCATTAGGCTATCACAACTCTCTCTAGATTAAATACAGGCCAAATAAAAATCCACTCTTTTGGAGGGGGGAGGGGTTTGTGCGGGGAGAAGGGTGCAACAATGAATGAATGGAATCCAAAAAAAAAAAAAATCCACTCTTTTTTTTGTTTCTTTGTTAAGAAATCAATGTTCTGATTCTAGATAATTATTTGGAAACCTAAGTACCTAAAATAGCCAAAATAATGTTGAAAAAAATTGTTTCCTCTAAAATAATTTTAAAGGAATTACATTACCTGGCTTTAAGATTCATAAAAACATAATACTGAAGACAGTGTGGTATTATAATAAGAAACAGACATAAGTCAATAGAACAGAATAGCCTAGATATAGATCAACATACACAGAGTAGTTTTTCTCTAAAGATGCTACAGTAATTCAATGAGTAAAGAATAATCTTTGCAATAAATGGTACTAAAGCAATTGAATGTTCATCTAGCCCTAGGTAATGCAAATAGTTAATCCCCTCTACTGGAAGGTTGGCATTTTGAGTCTGCCCAGAGTTAGCTCAGATGAAGTTCCTACTTCCAAAAAATCAGCTACTGAAAACCCTGTGAGGCATTGTTCTAGTCTATATACGTGGGTTCACCACAAATCAAAATCACAAAAATAATAAAATTAAAAAAAAAAAATCAAAATCAACTCTGCAGCTGTTTTTTTCACTCTCACCTCATACTGTATATATGGTATAAATCCTAAATTTATACCAGGTATCCATTCTCACTAAATTGAATTTCTGACATTAGCCAAATGCTTCTTTTTTTTTTCTTTCCTCTTTCTCTTAGTTTCACTGTAAGAATTTTTGTTTGTTTTCATTAATTTCAATGATAGTTTGCAGAGACTTAGGGTTTCCATTCGTTCATTGTTGCACTTTTCTCAGTGCCCACCCCCTCCCCCCAATTCACTCTTCTCTTTGAAAAGTAAAAGAAAAATCCTTTCATTGTGATACAACCCCTCCCCCCAAGTCCACTCCACTTTGCAGCCTTCGTTCCAGACTCCTGTCATGACAATAATACCTAATCATATATCCCTTTTAAATAGTTCTCTCCCTCATCTATTTCAATGCAGTATACATTATTTATCCTCTCTTTGTAAGAATTTTTTAATAGTGTGCTGTTTGTCTGCAGGGGTTAGAAATACTACATATAAACTTGCAGATCTTTTTTAATGCATACATGCATTTAAAAATACATATCACAAAAATTTACTCCAATAATAGAGTTAGACAACACTGGCATTTTGTCATTTTCTATAATAACACAACTTGTAGATAATCCCTAGGAATGGGGCTGGCTTTTCTAGATAGAAAATCAGTGAGAGTTGTCTGTATAGTCCTTTTCCTTATTCCTTCATATGTTTTTCAGTAACATCTCACTGACTTCTGAAATCTGCCTGTGGACTACAGCAAAGTGATTTTTTTTTAATCTAGTGTTTCAAACAACTTAAAACTCTGATTTTGTTTAGAGAAAATGTCAGCTAATCTTTTCACTGTGCATTTTTTATATTATCCCTCTTTACTCATCTTCATTATACTTTCTTCAGCATTTCTTTCCTCTGCTATTCAGCATTGTTCTGAACAGTAAATCAGAATTTAACGTCTGTGAGTAAACTCTTAAAAGGATGACATCAGTAAATTATGCACTCCATTGTTTTATGGTGTTGTTATGTGCCATTGTGTTATCTGCGACTCATAGTGACCCTATGTACAACAGCTCTGAAGCCTGCTCTGTCCTCAACCAATCTCACTGACACCTACTCCTATTGCTCCGTTGAACTGTATCCATTGATACAGTTACTGTATCAATCCATCTTCTCTGGAGTCTTCCTCTCCTGCATTGTCCCTCTACCCTTCAGAGAATGATGTACTTCTCCGAGGACAGGTCCCTCCTGGCCACATGCCCAAAGTATGTGAGACAAAGCTTCAAAATCCGAGCCTCCAAGGAGAAACTTGGTTTCACCCTCTCCAAGACAGACCTATTTGTTTTCTTGGTAGGCCAAGGTGTGTTCAAGACTCTTCTCCAGAACCACAACTGAAAGTCACCAATACTTTTTCTGTCATCCTTAGTCATGTCCAGCACTGATGCATATGAAGTAATTGCAAAGACTATGGCCTGGATCAGGCTCACTTTAGTCTCTAGAATGACATCATTGCTTCTCAGTAATCTGGAGAGGTCCCTGACAGCACATTTTCACATTGCAATACATGTTGATTGTGGAGCTGAACAAGCTCTAATTGTTAACAGTCTCAGTCTCTTCTTCATCTATCATGGTGCTTCCAATTGGCCGAGTGGTGAGAATCTTTGTCTTCTTGATGTTGAGCTTCAATCCACATTGAAGACTATACAGTCTTTGATCTTCTGCAGCAAGTGCTTCAGGTCCACCTCAGTTTCAGCAAGTGGGGACGTGTCATCTGCATAATGTAGGTTGTTGATGAG